CTGCCGTGTCAGATGCATCCCGACTTTCTTATTCTCTCACTTGAGACATTTAAACCACTTGTAACCGTCATCCTTATATTTTAAAAGTTGAGTATACCCTGACATTAGAGCCTCGAACGCGATCACTTTGATCATTCTTGCTCCTTCCTCAGTTTGGTGTTGAGTGGCTTAAATCGTTGATGCACGATAACTTTTCGTAAATATTTTAATAACGATATTAATATTATTATTTATTTGATAATGCAATAAATTTTCGTAAATATGTTGAACAATATTTTATTGAAATATTTTTATTTAAATTTCTTACACTTAAAATTTTAGAATAAAAATATTTTTATAATATTGTTAATATCATTATTAAGATGGTAAATTTTCGAAAACACGTTGAAAAATATTTTATTGGAATATATTTTTATTCAAATGTCATGCACATAAAATTTCATATGAATATGCTCCTTTTAAAAATTATTTATACGTAAATATTTTAATAATATTATTAATATCGTTATTAAGATGATGACACTATAAATTTTTATATACATATTGAAAATATTTTATTGAAATATTTTTATTCAAATTTCTTAGAAATAAAATTTCATATTAATATCTATTTCTTCTCAGAAATATTCATACGTAAATATTTTGATAATATTATTAATATCGTGATTAAAATAATAACGCGATAAATTTTCATAAATTAATTGAAAACTATTTTTATTTAAATGTTTTGCATATAAAATTTCATAGTTATATCTGTTCCTTTCAAGAAATATTTGTAGGATTATATATAAATTTGAATTCATGCAAAGTAGTAAAATATGGGTAAAAAGAAATATTTCATTTATATATGGTATTAAATTAAATTTTCTTTATTATTATTCTTTATAAACATATTTCAAATTGTTATTTCTTTTTGGTAATATTAGTTTGTTATTTATGGAATTTTAAGTAATATATGTATTAATTACTTCAGCTTCTAGAAGGTATAATTAAAATGGTTGATTATTTATTCTTTACGTTCCCATAGTACACCCAACACTTCAATAAAGTATGCTTAATTAATTGTGAAGCTAATGAAAGACATTCTCGAATACCATTTTACCAAAAGGAAATTGAATGCTTTTGAATAACACTGCATAAATGAAATTTAGAAAATCTTATGCGAACAGAATAATTATCAGCCAGGTTCTTAAAAAATACTGACACATATATGTAGTTCTGTTAGATTTTTGCCTAATTCGAATACGGTTTCATACATATAAATAGCCACATACGTGTATGCAATTTTTAATAATTTAATAACAAATTTAATAACAAAATATTTTCTAATCACCACTATCCCATTTAATATTTGTAAATACAACCTAATTAATCCTTTCCTCACCATGATAACCACATATAAATAGCGACATACGTGTATATAATTTTTAATAATTTAATAACAAATTTAATAACAAAATATTTTCTAATCACCACTATCCCATTTAATATTTATAAATATAACCTAATTAATCCTTTCTTGACTATAATAAATCAAACGAAAAATTCCAAATTTTTATTTTATAAGAAGAGAAATCAAGTTCATTTCTTTCTTCTTATAATTAATGAAAATCCACACCCATACATTGATCATAAACACGTGCATCATTCTCAAAAATTTCAAAATATTTTCCAATCTTAACCACACCGTTTAAAATTTGTAAATATATTTTAAATAAATAATTGAATTTTTCCCCAATTTTGAATAAATTTGTCTAAGGAGGAATCAAAAATTCATGTAAAAATTCATTTGTTTCAAGAAAATGGAGTCGATATTTCGATTCGTTATGAGATATTACATAAACGTGCTCTGTAAAATCGAAATTACAATCGAAGCGTTTAACGTCCCATCGAAAATGAACCCCAGGGTTGCTCAGAATTGCTCGACTGTCGTTGTCCGCGATTGTCACAGGACTGAGAGAGGTTTATTGGCCCTGGTGCTCGCGTTTCAGACGACTGAAAGTTTAGATCAGAGGACCAAGAATATCCAACTCCCGTTTCATCGCTGCTCGTCCGATCGTTGAAGCGTATCATTACCCGCGATTTCTCCACGCAGAAGGAAATTGCGTGGCGTGGATCGAGAGCTGTTCCGAAGTTCCCCCTAGACGTAATGGCGTGTCGTGTGGTCTCTGCTACACAGTCTACGTATACCTTTCTTATAATACGTGTAATTTCCAAGCAATTTTCGTTTTTCTCATTTTCCCTTTTTTTCCCCCCCAAATTAATACATCAGCACCGATTCGAACAAATACTCTGTCTTAACAATTTTCTGCTACAATAACGTCCGATACGATGCATCGAATAAGCAAATTTTTATTTTTATTTCCAGCACACCTATTTATCTTTTCACTCTACGAACATCATGTCTCACGTAATTTCTTTTTAAGGAAGTTAGAGTTATTTTATTTATTTATTTAGTTTTTACGATTTTTACGAATTTGGCGATTTTCCATTAAGAATCCTACTTTTCCTATGTTTCCTACTTTTCCTGTTTTTCTTACTTTTCTTACTTTTCCTATTTTTCCTACTTTTCTCACTTTTCCAATTTCCCGGCTTTTCTCACTTTTCCAATTTTCCGGCTTTTCCTATTTTCCCACTTTTCTTATTTTCCTACTTTTCCTACTTTTCCTATGTTTCCTACATTTCCTATGTTTCCTACTTTTCCTATTTTTCCTACTTTTCCTACTTTTCCCACTTTTCTTATTTTCCTACTTTTCCTATTTTCCTACTTTTCCTATTTTCCTACTTTTCCTACTTTTCCTATTTTCCTACTTTTCCTATTTTCCTACTTTTCCTATTTTTCCTACTTTTCCTATTTCTCCTACTTTTCCTATTTCTCCTACTTCTCCTATTTTTCCTCGATATTTGTCCAATTTTACTCCTACTTCTCCTATTTTTCCTCGATATTTGTCCAATTTTATTTCGTCATCGTGCGAGGAAATATGAAATTACGCGTTACCGGAGTAAAAGATGGTACAAATGGTACAGGATGATACAAAACAAAGATAACTATTGCAAAACACACGTTTTCTTAATTTTGGATTATTTTATTTTTAAATATAGTTAATTATATAGATTTATATATAGATTTATTTTTAATTCGAGGAATATTCAATATCGTAGAAAGAAAGGAAATGTGAAATATGGAAAATGAATAAGGTATGAGTTTTCCAAACCCATCAGCTTTTTAATGATTACCGATATCTAAAAGGGGAGAATGCGCAGAATGCCAATTATGACACTTAAAGCTGGAAATTCAGCGAATTTTTAAGAAATTCGATTTGGGGTGAGTTTATCGATAAATTTAACGAGTTTAATTTAATCCTTATTCCATCGGTCACCGAGCCGTTCGATTGTAGCGTTGAAGCGTGACAGGCACAGAAATACAGCGTTCTTTGTGATAAGCTATCGAGATCCGTTTTCGATAAAACGAGCGGTGGTGTTAATTGATAATGCGGCTGTCACGACAATTGAAATGCAAATTCTGGGTACACTGAACCCTGACGCGTCTAATCTTATTTATATTACGGGAATTCTTGCTACGCGCTGCCAATTATCTCGTTAGATGCAATGAGAAAAAATCAGCTTGACAATTTTTTGAAAAGCAAATCGATTTTGCCAATGAACACCGTATCGATGTTGAGTTTCACCATACATCGTTACTGCGGATTACTCTGACTCCATAAACGAAAGATTATAACGCTAAGATTAGCACGCTGATCATACTGTCACTTCGCAAGTCATATTTCACCTTTATTATTTGTCTACCCGTTATAACCAACCTGGAAGTTAGAGAATACGAGCTTACGTAGGAAATAGAAGTGGTACAAGTGCATTTCTCTCTCCAAAAACGAGATAAACAGCAGAAATGTTACGCAAGACCCGTATCTATGTAGAGACTTTCGTTGCAGTCTTTCAGAATTTGACAAGTATCTATAGCAGCGTGTTTTGACGTTTGGAAAATTTGATTTTCTTATCAGAATAAAATCTCGATTTAGCAAATAATAGGATGAATGGAGAATGGAATGATAAAAGCGACGAAATTAGACTGAAGGAGTTAGTTTAACACGATGACTGTCATGGTGATCATCAGTGATCGTTGCTTGCCTCCACAGTGGGGCTATATTGGTGACTATTAGGATTGTGGGTTCTAATATTAAAATAACTAGGATATATTCTCTTATAAGTCTTTTATTTCGCAAGGAAGGTATATGTTTCTCCTAATGCTTCTCCTTAGAGACTAACCGACCCCCCTAAGACACATCTGCAGCTGTACCCGACTCCTGTCAAGAGGGTACGCGACGCGGTTCGCTCAAACCCCCTTCTCCCAACGAATGTATGCATAAAGCATTCCTTCTAGGAACTTATATCTTCTGATTTATTTGTATCCTATATCTTAGACTGATTTTTGTCTACAGCTAAATTTGCCTTTCCAATAGTGACGATACTAATTTTTTAACTCCTTGCACTCGGCGATTTTTATTTATTTATTAATTTACAGGAAAATAGTAATTCGAAGACTTTCTGCCATAAGGCGAACGATATTTTAAAAACGACAAATAAGAAATCGTATGCAATTTAAAACGTAGAATTATTTTATTTCGATATTCCACGCATCGTTGGGTAATTATAAATTTGATATATTAATTAACATCCATCTTTAAAATCCGATTAAATGGTGACTGAGAGGCGCCTCTCGAGTGCAAAGGGTTAATTTATACTTGCTTCGTTCTAACCATTTTTTGAAAATTTGAAGAACGTAAATAAATAACTAGACATTAATAATTTGCACCATTTTGTCCCCATATTGTTTGATAATTCATCATAGTATCGTAGGAATAATGGAAATTTGATCGTGGCTCCCTGAGCGTAGCGTACACAAAGTGCATGACAGTGAAAGCGTTAAGGAGATGCAAGGAGATGGATCTATCAGCTGACCGATGTATCATCTTCTGTTCCAGATACCTCAAGACAGCAACGGGCGACGATCCGACTCGACCAGTATGCATCTGGGATCGCAGTTCGAGGTGCACTTCAAAATGCGGTAGAGGAAGTCCCTCAACGAGAGGCCACGAAATAGCTGCGGACACCCTAAAAGTGCAACTAGACGAGTCGCGTCCGTGCGTGTTATACAGAGCATAAGCGCGTGCATAATAGCAATTAGACGGAGGGAATCGACCGAGGAATCATTCGCAGCCTATCAAACGTTGCAACGCTCGAAGGGTCGGTCTCTTGGAAACCGTCGGAGCACCCTTCGACACCCAAGGCTCAGTATCTCGGCCGAGACGAACCTGGCTACCCCTGATCGACGGGAACCACTGCCTTCCGAGCCACCGGGTCATCGCAAATCCCTCTAACATCCCACTCCTTGCCAACCACCAGAGCTCGCCAGACCTCGAAGCACAACCGCTCACCCGATCACCCTACTACCAACTGTCATAAACGCGGCGCTAGTTCCCCAATAGCTAAGAAGATCTGCGTAAGGGACTTTAAGAAGCAAGTGAACAGAGGTGAGCAGAGGACCCGTCACGGTGGCCAGCTTAGTGAGCGGCAACGTAGCGGTGCGTTACGATGAGGCGTCGGGAGTGGTTGGCACGGGGGGTGTCGTACTGGCAGCCACTTCCAGGTTAGCCACTACGGATCCAGCCACGTCCAGCATGGACACCAGCGACTCCAGCATGGACACGACTAACGGAGGCTCGAACACCGGGGTGGCAGGGGTGGCCGGGGTGGCGGGGGTGG